ACAAAGATAGTTTATCTTTACCCTGTTCCCTAACTACCAAGTCTCTGTGCCATATAGCAGAACTGGCCGAGCCGCTGCAGCATACACTCGACGCCTTGCAGACAGTCGCATGTCCCGACGATGCCACAGATGTCTCAAATTGGCAAATGCAAATAGAGTCATTCAGTATGCGGATGAAGTGTCGGCTCACACTCAGAAAGCTCACTTGTCTACGTATAGCCACAAGTGCACGTGTGTGTGGTTCGTACACAACTTCCTGGTTACTTTGGAATCAAGGTTTTTAGCCAACTACCCTTGGTGCATTGCCATTGGTTCACCGACCAGGTTATAGTCCCGAATGTGGGCTTTTCGTCCTCTCACTTTGGTGGGAAAACACCTCCGAAACGAGAAGGCAGTGAGTAGGGCTTCCTCAGCAGACGCTATTTGAGATACTTGGTGGTATAAGGGAACATTTCGCGAGGTGCAAGGAAAGGGTGACGAGCCACAACCGGAGACACCCATCCCCGACTATACTGAAGCTTTCGGAGGCCAAAGGAGTAGCCAAACATACTTCACCTTTTGGTGATAGCTGTACAGAACTGATAAGATAAACTGTGATCATCACATGATATGGACAACCATCAACCACACCGACCTGTAATCGCATTCGAAAGCCTGGAAATGGTCTGGCTCGGGTTTCTTGGGTTGTGATTATTCACCTTTTCTCACTTCCACCTCGTGAAACGCTCGCCTACAATCCAGTGTCTCAACTAGTCTCTGCTGAGAAAACCTTAATCACTACGTTCCCGTAACTGGGTTTTTTCCAGCCAAAGGAAAAGACAAAAGGTCAACATCCGAGATTATAATCGGGATCGATAAATTACGTATTGGCGGTCCAACCAAGGGAGTTGACTAAAAACAAAGTCTGCTTTTCAACCAACTATAAAGAGGCGTACGAACTTCACGAAATAGAAATTCAAAGCTTATAAATATTGTAGGATATACAATAAATTCCAATTTCTAAGGATGGAATAGTGTCCGATTCGATATCGTTCTTCGCACAAAGGTGTTGCATGCAGCTTGATAAAAAAAATTTAACTGGAAAACTGAAGATTATGATGAGCTCGACAACTGTTTGAATAGCTTTGGTCCATGGGACTTAGGCTTGTCGTTGAAAAAAAGAATACAAGCA